CTTTCCAGTGAAATGGAAGCTTCTGTTTCAGTGCACAGATGAGCAGATTGGAGACAGCAACATCTGGTCCTTGCAGAAAACTGTCAATTAAGGGCAGCAGAATAATGTCAGTGTTACAGACTTCAGTGCAAATATCTTGCAGAAGATTTAATTTTAATGTGCAGCTGACTACTTCTGAATTCAGTTACTTGATGTATTATGCACGTAACTACTTTGAGGTTGACAGTGAAGGGATATTGCAAGCTGGAGTTAAGCGCTTGTCATGACTTCTGCAGTTACCTAAGAGACTGTAGTCCCTTTGCTTTGATCAGGCCTGTGGGCTGACCGCATTGATCCGTCTTTCTGCAGAGCTCTCAGATCAGATCCAAAGAGCCATTCAGCTGGAGGAGGAAAGGAGACGAGCCCAGCAGGAAGCAGAACGCTTGGAAGCTGATCGTTTGGCTGCTCTGCAGGCCAAGGAAGAGCTGGAGAAACAAACTATGGACCAGATAAAGAGCCAGGAGCAGCTGGTAAGACCTGGTCATTTTGAGGATAAGATGTACCGGCATGTTACTATGCCCTTTGAGTAAGGCAAAGCATTGCTCTCCAGGGAAAAGCATTGCGCAGTGAAATACTAGACCATGTGATAGCATCATTGTGGCACTGGTTTGTCTCATGAGCAATCTACTCAATGCTCTTAATTTCCTATTCAGTTTTTATTACAGAAAAGTGTAACACTTGGGTCTTTTCTCAGTCAACAGTGTTTCATTGTTGTGTTTGGGTTTTTGTTTGCTTTGTTGTTTTTTTTAAGAGTCCTTATAATTCCAGTCTTATTATTCAACAGGCTACAGAGCTTGCAGAGTATACAGCCAAGATTGCACTTCTTGAAGAGGCAAGGAAGCGTAAAGAGAGTGAGGTTGAAGAGTGGCAGATCAGAGTGAGTATCTCTGTTTTACAAAGTTGCTCTAAAGTTCTGCGGTTGCACAGAGCATACCATGGTGCTTAGCCTGGTATGACTTCTTGAAACACGTGAAGGCAAACATCTGCACACCAGCAGAGAAGGGCAGACTCGTGATGAATGTGCAATACGCCAGCAAAACACCTTTTTTACAACAAGCCTGTAGTCAAACTTCAAAATGAAATCCTGTATTAAGCCTAAAAATGTGCTCATTAACTTGGAGCCAGGGAGGGGAAGGGGCACATGTATAAATGATGCATTTAATCTGTGACATCCCATAATCTTTAGACATTACATCAGTCAAGAGAAGACACTGCAAATGCAGCCACACTGCAGGTACCATTCTCGAGGAGTGTTTGCTGTTGTCAGTGGCTTCCTGGTACCCACAGTGAGGGAGTTGAATTAATTTGATGCAGTAAACTGAAAAATAAACCACGCTGGGCTGGGAATGCTTGGTGCTTCCAGTGGCCTCCCTGTACCTAGCGCTGCAGACCACATGGGAGGGCAGAACTGCTGAAGCAGCAAGGAAGGAGATTGCCTACTGTGTAATTGCATTAAAAATGCCAACTTGGGAAGTTCTTGCTCTGTAGAACCCATATTTACAACCTGCAGCTCTTCAAATGGAGAACAGGATGCAGAAAACTGTAGCTTTGCACAGAACCATTTTTCCCAGACTGTGTGTCAGATCCCCTGCACATTAGACAGTGGATGATGATAGTATCACTAGCAAAAAAAATAAATGTTGTGCATAACACTGTAACAGAGGACTGTCAGTGGCAGATTTAGTTCCTTCTTTCTTGCTTTTCATAGTAGATTGACAGAACTGGGAAGATAAGCATTGAACTGTTCATTGAGCTGGTTTAAAGCAAGAAATGCATGGAAATATTTTTCACTCTTTCTTTTCCCAAAGGCCAAGGAAGCCCAGGAGGATCTGATAAAGACAAAGGAAGAGCTACACCTGGTAATGACTGCTCCACCTCCACCCCCACCACCCGTCTATGAGCCAGTGAACTACCATGTCCATGACAACTTGCAAGATGAAGGATCTGAGTACTCTGCCTACAGCGCAGAGTTCTCCAGCGAAGGGATCAGGAATGACCGCAATGAGGAGAAACGCATCACTGAAGCAGAGAAGAACGAGCGTGTACAGATGCAACTGAGGGTAAGACAATATTTGGAGGAGACGGAGTAATTGCAACAATCATTCCTGGAAAACGCATCATTTAACCACTTGGTTAAGCACACAAAACATGAGAGTTTCTCTTCGTTTGAATCAAAGACAAAAGGTATATAAAGATTACTCTTGTTACTCAGGCTTTGAGATTGCTTACGTGATCCATAGTGTTTATGAAAAACATGTGTTGTATCCATATCACTGATGTGTCCAGTCACCTGTCAGCTCTCACCGAAAAGCACTGCTGTCATGAGCTGAAGGCACGTGTAACGTGTATTTAATGTTCTTTACATTGTAGGCGCTGACAGATGAGCTGGCCCAAGCTAGAGATGAAAATAAGAGGACCCACAATGACATTATCCACTCAGAGAACATGCGACAGGGACGTGACAAGTACAAGACACTGCGGCAGATCCGGCAAGGCAACACCAAGCAGAGAATTGATGAGTTTGAGGCGATGTAACGATGCTTATAACAAGAAGGCAGGACTGTGGGAAAGGCAGATCTTAATGCTGTGTTCTTGTTTTGGGGTTTTTTTTGTTGTTTGTTATTTTTTCCCCTGAGGAGGGGTCACTGTATGGCATTTGAATCTCCCTTTTATTCCATACCTTCTATTAAATTTGGTATAGTTAAAAACTTAGCGTACCACTGATCCTGGTAACTTGCTCATGCCTTTGCTTAGTGCCAAAAGGCCTTATGACACATCTCTCTTTAAGCAAGACAAATTTGGATAGGCCGTGCTTCTGGTTGAAGATAGTGTCCTGTGCAGGTGCTGGATTCAGCTTGGTCTAAAAATAAGCAACTGTGGGTGAATTTTGTGCCATATGTCTTTGTATTATTAGTTACAGTGTAAAGTCCAACAGTTGAAGACATGTTGTAGAACTCAAGATCTGCAAGGACCTGTATGTATGTGTGTGCATGTGTGTTTTTAGACCCTGTTTTTTGTCTTGGTCTTGATCCTCACCTTCCCCTCCCCCAGGCACACAAAAGAACTGACATCACCTCAGAACTACTTTGAGTAGAAATTGGGCTTTTTCTGGTTGCTGTTCTCAACTGGAGAAATTCTGCAGTGATGGCTCAGAAGTGTGGCACAGGGACACTGATACCCTCCTCGTATAACAACTAGGTAAATACTGTTGGAATCTAATACACTACTGTGTTTGCATTCCAGCTTCATTACTAATCAGTTACAGTGTAGTATTTATAT